ATATGCAGATGCATAGGTATTCACTGCATTTCAAGTTTTAAAGCATATACCTTATACGTTTTCTGTATTTAATATAGATTCCAGAATTAAAAAAAAAAAATGAGGCAAAACCACTCTGGATAACCCCCATGCATTAAAGTCCTGTAATTTTTGTCTCTGCTTATTGTAAATGATAAGGAGCTCTGGTGGCTCAGTGCCTAAGGCATTTGACTGCTAACCCGAAGGCTGGTAGTTCAAACCTACCAGCTGCTCTGCTTGAGTATGTCAATCAACTTCATTGATTTGTGCCTTATTTGCTTTTTTTTTTTTTCTTTCAGCATTGATTAGGTTGATGTTACTAATTAGGTAGATATTACTTTAAGAGTAATATGATGAGTGTTACTCATTGAAAAGGAAAAGATATTTCACAGCATCTCTACTGTACTTGGGCCCCTTTAGCTCACCAAAAAAAAAAAATTAAAAAATCCCCAAACTCACTGCCATCGAGTCAAATACAACTCATAGTGATCCCTGCTTGGGTTTCCCAGGTGGTGACTCTACAGAAGTAGATTGCCCAACCTTCCTTCTGAGGAGTGGCTGGTGGGTTTGAACCGCCAGCCTTCTGGTTAGCAGTCAAGTGTCTTAGGTACCACGCGACCTAGAGAATGTTGTTACTGTTTTTGTCATTGTTTTTAGCTGCCATTGAGTCATCTGTTCCATTGCAACCTATTCACGATCACAGCAGCACACAGGGCTTCACTGACAGGTGGCGGGTGGGTGTGCAGGAGGTGCACTGGGCGGGAATCCAATCCAGCTCTCCCACATGGAAGATGAGATTTCTACCACGAAACCGTGACTACCTCCCTACGCCCTTGAACTAAGGATTCAAACTAAACACCAAACGCACTGCCGTCAAGTCGGATCCGACTCATAGTGACCCCTCCTTGGGTTTCTGAGCTGGTGTCACTAAGGAAGTAGATTGCCCAACCTTCCTTCTGGGGAGTGGCTGGTGGGTTTGAACCACCAGCCTTCTGGTTAGCAGTCAAATGCCCTAGGCACTATGCCACCAGAGCTCCCAACTAAGGACTACTGATGTCAATATTCTTATACTGGCCTGCAAGGAACTTGGCCTTTCCTCAGCTTTGCTCTTGGCACCTTCATACACTATTGTACAGGAAACATATATAGGAGTGGTGGTGAAGGAGCTCTAACAGGCCCCTGGAGTGCGCTATGTGACCTAGCACCACACTTACTCTGCGGAATATGCCCCAAACCAAAAGTGGAGGAGAGGGAAACTTCTTTCACAGCAGCAGGGGCCTGGCACCCTCGGGGCCCTGAGTCTTATCTGCAGCCTAGTACCATTTCTCATGGAGGTGCAGGGGTTAAGCTTCCTCTTTTGACCACCAGGCAAATGACTGGTCATGGACAGCAGCCAGGTTGAGGGTGAGAGGGCAGGTGGTGTTGGCCACTGGAGGAGAGAAGGTGAGAGAATATGAGCTCCTCAGCAGGGAGATGCCACCGGGGCTTTAAGAAGGCCCCTGTGCAGATTTCCTGGAAGGCCTAACTCTAGGAACCCATGGGCTGCTGTTCTCCTGCTCAGTCCCCTGAGAACCCTGGAGAGGACATCGGAGTGAGCCTCAGGCTGCAATCTTCCAGCCCTGCCTGGAGCGGTGCTCTCTGTTCTGGGTGGAGCTTTCACATTCAGGATCATCATGTTAACTGTTGTGAGGGTTGTGGCCCTCTTTCCTCTGCTGTTCTGAAGTGGGCACCTCAAAGATCCTTGGGATCCACAGGAAGGACCTTAAAGGGTGCCCCTGTCTACCACCCCTGCCAGGGGCACCCAATGCTGACAGCTCTGTGGGGGCCCTTCTCTGTCCTGGAGTCCTTGAGGTATCAGTCTTCATTCAGGGCCTCATCATAGCTCCGGGTGGGGCCTGGGAAACCTGCCTCTGCTGACTTGAGGGTCCTCCCCTCAACCCAAGGCCTTCAACAACCTGTTGCCATTAAAAAGGACAGTTCAATGATCAGGTATGCCTAGGCAGGGGGGAGTGTGCCCATGGCCATGCATAGAGTTGGCAGACGATGTTTTTACAAGAGTATTTGTATGTTCGGGAGCTCTGGTAGCATAGTGGCTAAGGCACGTGACTGCTAACCAGAAGGCTGGCGGTTCAAACCCACCAGCCACTCCTCGGAAGGAAGATGGGGCAATCTACTTCCA